AATGATGTAAAATTTCTGATTGTTAACGGAGAGCTTGTGTATTTTTAAACGATGGATAAGGTAACATGATTATGATCAAAACATTATGATGGGGTATCAAAACATTCAATGTCTTATTTAAAAAGCAATGTAGCACTTTCACTTAAAATTACCAATATTTATAATATGTTGGAATAACTACTTTTAACTTATAAAAAATTTTAATGTGAACCTAAAATATACAAGGGGATATAAAGATTTTCAAATTCTTTTATGAAATTTGTGAGCAAAAACTTTGGAAAAGTACCATATTTTAGATCTCTACGTTATTCACAAATACTGTGGGGACCTGGTCATTCTTTATGGAAGAGATTAGAACTACATTTATTTTACCAATGTAAGATATACAGAAACTTAAGCAGTGAAAAACTAGCAGGAAAAAAGCTCCCTGAACAATAAGACAAGACAATGCAAACCATGCTCTAATGGTCAGCACCTCAGTTTCATAGTGGATATGACTTTGAACAACTTATCTGGTTTATCATTCAAAACTGATAGTCACTTGGGAGAAACTAAGGGGAAAAACTGTTACGGGCAAGTATATTGAGCGAAACAGAAAATTAAAGTTGGCAGCAAGGAACAAGGGGAATGTGTAGTAGGACTGTAACTTTTAAAAGCAAGAACTCAAAAGGCATGCTAGCCTGGGGCTATTTGATATAGAGTCGAAAAGACCAGTAACATTAGCAGACTCTAAGGATACTGATGTATTACCATATAGTACAATAATGTATGGTCATAATGATAATTCTGAGTCATCAAGAAAGGGTTAGTCTATACGGTCTGTTGAAGAAGGCTAATTATAATACACTTAATAAAGATGTCCATCGAAAGTGTTTTTAAATTGTGTATTTAAAGTATTTTTCACAAAAATATGATTGCAAAGAATACCCTGTTTTGAGAGTATGGCAGAAAAATCAAGTGATACTGTATCCAAATCTTACCTGCTGGGAATTATCACCATTCCCTATACTGAGAGAATCTGAAGGTTTGTCAATGGGGCTGTAAAAAGAAAACAAACCGAATAAAATCAGAATACAGTCATTCTCCTAAAATAAAAACAAACTTCTTAAAAGTCAGAAAAATAAAACATTTTACCATCTTAATAAATGTTTACCGAAGTACTGTGAAGTAAAATATTAGGTTAAATGTTGAGGACACAAAGAAGTATTTAAGATTTCAAATCTGAAAATCCGAAACCTGAACTGCTCAAAAATTCCAAACTTTTTATGTACCGATGTGACCACTCAAAGAAAATGCCCAATGGAGCATTTGGATTCAGATTTGGGATACTCAACTGGTAAGCATAATGCAAATATCTCAAAATCTGAAAAAATCCAACATCCTAAACACTTCTGATCCCAAGCATTTCGGATAAGAGATATTTAACCTGTATAAGATAAGATCCCTACCTTTGAGGAACTTACGTTCTAATTAGATTCTCCAAAAACAATGGGTGAAATAATAGCTTATGGGAAAAAAAGTACTGTGTACAACAGATATTATTCTGATTAATAGACCAAAAGTCTGATCTATCACTTAGTTTTGTGCATGTGATAAACACGTTCCCCATTACAGTTTCTGAAACAGTACTGACCCATTTTTCTAAGTGTTTGACAGACGGCACAAAAGTTACTGAAATGTTCTCTACAGGTTTTTAAGAGCAATAAATTTAATACTTTCATATATTAATAATAACCCTAGAGAAGGCATATGTGCATACATATTGATATATACACACACACACAAATTAGACAAATGAAAGACACTTGTGTGCAAACTGTTGACTCAAACAAAAAATATTACTGTTTTATTTCCACATGGAGAAAATGCAGCACCATGGAACAGTTTAAGACAGCATTGCTGACAAGTTCATTTTAGCTCATCTGATTTAAAGACAAAATAAAATCTTTATAAGCAATGCAACTCTGACCTAGTGACATCATTTCTATAACTAACTTTAACTCACCATACAAAACAAAAAACAAGTACAGCCATATGTCGCTTAATGATGGAATATGTTCTGAGAAATGAGCCACTAGGTGATTTTGTCATGCGCAAACAACAGAGTGTGTACTTACATAAACCTAGATGGTATAGCCTATTGCTCCTAGGCTGCAAACCTGTACAGCATGTTACTGTACTGAATATTGCAGGCAACTGTAACACAACAGTAAGTTAAGCATTTGTGTATCTAAACATAGGAAAGTACAGTAAAAATATGGTATTTATACTCTCACGGGACCACCATCGCATATGCAGTCAACTGTTGACTGAAATGTTGTTATGCAGCACATGACTGTGTTATTAATATTACCTCAAATGTGTTGCTCTGATACAATATTATAGCAAAAAGAATTAAGATTCCAAACTTCTCAAAATTATTTTATTCTCTGGAAATACATATGAAATCACCTTTCAAACAGATAACTTACTGGTACTATGTTTAATTGCTGTAAAAAAAAATTTAACAATGGCTAGTACCCAATCTGAATCCCAGGTGTATCTTCTGCAGAGATATTGCCAGAGACTCGATTCTAGTATACAGATGTGAAGTTTACTTGAAGAGCACCTTCTTATTATCCATTATTATCCATAAAATATAAAGGAATCAATGAATGTTAAGTAATGTGGGTAACGCAAATTATTTTAAAGATACAGTTCTGAGCACACTAAATTTAGAGATATTTGGGGAAACAAGACAGGTGCACACCAAACAAATATCAGCCGGTGTCTGCTATTCAATGAATTGTTTCAATAAAAAATGCCATAAATATTCAGAATGAAGTGAAGCTACCACAAGTGAGGCAATTAGGGAAAGTTTCCTAGGGGAGTTCAAATTTAAGTAGGTCCTCAAAAAGATTTACACATTAGGAGAAGAAAAGAAAAAAAGGAAAGGGACAGCATTAAAGGCAGGAACAGTACCTGTATCAAGGGTCAAAAGGTCACATACAGGGTGGGACAGAGTTAAGGAATTAATACAGCTAACAAATAGTATGGCTGGAATAAAAATGGGAGGGTAAGGATAGAAAGGTAGACAGAGGCCAGACTCCAGAGACCAACGGAAAATTTCTCAGCACAGAAATCAAGCAGAATTCTAGAAAGATTAATTTGGTGGTGGCATAAAGAACAGACTGGAACATAATAGAGAAAATTTTAAAATAAACTTCCACTATTCTTATAATATGAGAACAAGGGCTTCAAGTTGAGAGAAAGAGGTGGTAACAGAAACAAAAGGATGAAAGCAAGATATTACAAAGGAAAAATTTTAGTATCTAGATCTTGGTTCATCTTCGCAGCCACAACCATTAAAGAGCACTAAATAAAAATTTTCATGTAAGTGAGGTCAGTCTTGCTAATGTCCAGAGCAATATATGAGAATGTTATTACATACAGAATAAATCTTAAGGATGTTTCTGGATTACAACTGATTAGAATAATTTATATCATCTTGTCCAACACCCCAATTGCAGTTTTATAAGCCCCGATTCATAACATCATATGCTTTATCTGTGAAAGTTTTATCAAAGATGCTAATTGTGTCATTAATCCAAAAACAGCTGCTGAAAAAATAAGAATTATGGCAAGATACCAGTAAACTCATGTTCCACTCAGTTTTAGTATATTTGTCTCAATTTATTAATATTTTAATAATTAAATTTAAAAAATCAATTATGTTATAGTTAAACCTGATATTATAAGTGTTATCAGTGGAAAAGCAGAAAAGAAATATGGGAGAGTCCCTGCAAATACATGTACAATTTCAATAGCAAGAAAAATATATTTAAAAATTCCAATGACCATGAACTCCTTAGATCTCTAATGGCTGGACAGAAAAGATATATCCCAACAGGGATACCACCAACAGGTCAGAGTCCTCACAATTCCACTAGCATCACATGTAGAGCCTCCTTCCTAGTCTGCAGTGAAACATCTGGAATCTGATGATCACTTTAACAGAGGAAGTGAAGAGAAACAAAATAAAAAGGCATCAAAAGTCTCCTCAAAGTCTCTCAAATTATTAGATTTCACAGCTAGAAGGAATCATTAAAATTAAATACACTATTTTCCAGATAAACCAAATTCAAAACTCTCTGCAAAAACATAGTCAATGACATAGCAGGGTCTCAGTTTGGATCTTCAGATGGTCAGCCAAGTTTTGCTCTCTTCTAACTTGCCCCAAAGGCAGTGCTTGAACTTTACTTCCTTTTACTTACTACTTCCTTAGTGGTGATGCCGAATACACTCATGGCTGCTTTTTAAAATTGGCAACATAAGACAATTACACAGTAGAAGGATCAAAAAAAATCATATTCAGGAAGTAGGGGTGGGCTAAAAAAATGCTGAGGTCTAGCTCCCTTGTTTATCAAGTTTAAAACAAAAATAGTCAAAGTGATTAATTTTTAGTCACATTTTGAAAACAAGACAAAATTAACGTAAGGACAGAAATTTCACTGTCATGTTACTATATACACAAATACATATTCACTTTGCTTCTAAATTAAATATTCCCATATTCATTTAGAAGAATTAATTTTAATTTTTTCTGTTCACCAGAGTCCTACATAACTCTGAGATACACTTAAATATTTGCTAACACAATGGATATATTTAAGTTATTAACAGGTAAAATTTGCCTCTACAGAATATATTCCATTTCATATAAGCTTCAAATATACAGTAACATTTAAAGTATCATTCTGCTACTAAAATATGGCCACATATTAAATGGCATAATTAGCTATAAAAAGAGCAAGGAAAAAAATGCCTCAATAAATCTGAAATGATTGTAGTTAAGCACATATGATTTTAATTGGAATTTTCTCGTAACTCTAAGACCTACTTAACATGAATGAAAACAAATGTTTTGATTAACTACTAGTAAGAACAAAAAATTAGTTATTTTTAATATTAAAGGTGAAAGATGGACATCTACTATCCTAAATATACCATAGAATGTAGCAACCTTTCAAAAACAGCAGGTATTCATTTATTCATTTTAATTTTGTATTACAGAAATAAATTTAATCTTGAAAAAGATATTAGGTTGGTGCAAAAGTAATTGAAGGTTTCGGACTGTGAATTTTAAATCATTATACCTAGGCTCAAAACACATCTTTATTAGTCAAAATAGTAACCATTACAATCAACACATTTTTGCCAACAAGAAACGTTTGTTTATTCTTGCAGTGTAAAAATCCACGCTTCGGGATTCGACGAACTCTTGGAAAGCATTTTCTGCATCCTGCTAGTTGTGGAAGCATTTTCCCTGCAAAAAGTTGTGGAGATACTTGAAGAAGTGGTAGTTGGGTGGCGAGAGGTCAGGTGAATATGGCAGATGAGGCAAAACTTCGTAGCCCAGTTGGCTCAACTTTTGAAGCACTGGTTGTGCGACATGCAGTCGGGTGTTGTTGTGGAGAATTGGGCCCTTTCTGTTGACCAATGCCGGCTGCAGGTGTTGCAGCTTTTGATGCATCTCATCGATTTGCTGAGCATACTTCTCAGATATAATGGTTTTGCTGGGATTCAGAAAGCTGTAGTGGGCCGGGCG